ACACACACACACAGTTTACACACACACACACACACACACACACACACACACTGGGGGATGTGATAAGAGTGTGTGACTGTGGCAGACACTGAGCAGCTGTCCTCTCAGCGCTTAACAAGAGCAGGACCAGCCCCGCCACCAGGGGTTATCACACACTCACACGTCTGTTCTCCTGTACATGTGTGGACCCTCGCTGACACAACACATGACCTAAAGCACAACTTTAAGCCGTTCGTATCCTAAACTTTATGTAATAACTCAACGTAATAAAGGTTCACTGCATCCTGTAATAAAAAATAAACATGTAACTAGATTTGTGTTTTGGTGACGTATGGTGGCGGACTGCTGCTGATGGGTGAAACTAATGAATCCTTTTTAATATAAGTTCCCTCACTGTGTGTTTGTAGGTGTGACCTCTGCTGCCTGTCTTTCCGAACCCACCGCGGTATGTTACGTCACAATGCCGGCGTTCACAAGCTGCTCCCCCAAGACCCCAGCGGTCGCCCCTTCATCCAAAACAACCCTTCCATCCCCACGGGATTCAACGACCTGGCCTTCATTGACTTCTCCTGCAAGAAGTTTGCTCACATCGCGCAGGTATTACAGCAGGAACGTACCTCTGTTTATATATATCGGTTTTAGGGTCAGTATTTAATCCACTCTTTTCCCTTCCAGGTCTGGTGTGAGACAAACCTCCGTCGCTGTATCAGTAAGTTTCATCGGTTCGTCTGTGATTGCTGTGACAAGGCGTTCCCCCTGCGCTCTGCCCTGGACCTCCATAAAACCACCTCCCACCCAGACAAACCCACTGACGCAGAGGAAATGGAGGACGAAGCAGACGATGAAGCTGCAGAAAACGGTGATGACAACGACAGTGAGGATGTTAAGAAGGAAGTCCTGCCCTTGGAGCAGGCCAGCTTCTTGGAAGCGTTGGGTCTTCAGCACATTTCTACGGTGAGCCTTAAAACTCAAATCAAATTAAGAGGGAGGAAGAAATGGAAAATGTTTTGTGAATTGATCGTTAAAAGGTGTAGGAATGCTGTAATGCAGCCCGGTAACTGTCCTCTGATGGATGCAACCTTTATATCTCAGGTGAAGTCCGGTCCTACTGACGATGAGATCCATCAGGCGCACCTGGACAGCATTAAGGTGATCCACGTGGAGCCGCCATCCTCCAGCCTTCCCCAAGAGCCGGCCTCAGCGTACCTCTCCGGAGGTCTGGGGCTGACTTTGGGGCTCGGTGTGGGTGGTCTGGCTGCCCTCAGCATCCCCCTGCTGGAGGCCTCTGGCTCCGCCTCCGCCCTGCAGGGCCTCTCCCAGCGAGATGCCCTCAGCCTGCTCTCCCTGCAGCCCTTCCAGACCGGCTTCCTCCTGCAGCCTGACGGGGGCGCTGCAACAGGTAGTGCAGCCTCATCGGGGGTCAAACCCGGAGAGGCAGGTGGAGCCGGGATCATGGAGCTCGCTGACATCCAGCAGATCCTCAAAGTGGCGAGCGCAGCACCGAATCAGATGGGACTGTCCCTCCCACCTCTGGCCAAAGCTCCAGGATTTGCTGGAGGTGCTCAAGGTGGGTGTCTGCTCGAGCTGGAGCTTCCTGTGATCGATCAATCAATCAATCGATCAATCAATCAATCAATCAGTTTCTTAAATACTGTTTTTAAGATTCGGTGACTCCTAGTGCTTATCGACTGTTTCCTCCTCCAGGTCAAGTCCAGGGTCAGAAGGCAATGCCTCCGTTAAAGCCCAAACCTCCCATCACCCCCCGCTCCAGCCTCACAGCGACGACTCCGCCCCCCCTCCAGAGCTCCCAGCAGGCCTCACTGGGCTGCATCAGCCCCAGCCTGCCACCTCCCACCCCGACTCTCTTCAAAACACCCTCCTCATCCTCATCATCGTCCTCTTCAGCTGGGAATGGAGGGCAGTTGGATGCAGAGTGTATGGGTGACGCTCACACGCCTTTGTCTGATTCGCCGCCAGCTGCTACAACAGCAGTACATGAGGAGGCGGGGCTTAGCGGGAGAAAGCCAGGAACCAAGGGGGGAAACAACGCCAACGCTGGCTCGGCTAAAGGCTCGTTCCCATGCCGATTCTGCGACCAGGTGTTCGCCTTCTCCGGCGTCCTGCAGGCTCACATGCGCTTCCACCTCGGCATCCTTCCCCACCAATGCAACATCTGTGACTACGTGGCTCCAGACAAAGCCACGCTGATCCGACACCTGCGGACACACAGTGGCGAGCGACCCTACGTCTGCCGGGTCTGCCATTATCCTTTCACTGTCAAGGCCAACTGCGAGCGCCACCTCAGGAAGAAGCACGCCAAGACCTCGAGGAAGGACATTGAAAAAAACATCAAGTACGTCACCTCCACCACCACAGCGAACATCGCAGCCGCAATCACCGCTGCAACAACCACCGGACAGGACACGGAGACGGGAGCTGAGACAACGTGCCGGTTCTGTGGCGAGGACCTGAAGACCTACCGGTCTCTACAGATCCACCTGCGTACACACAACGGCTGCCAGAGGAAGCCATTTGAGTGCCGGCGGTGCGGCGCTGCCTTCCTGGCTAAACGCAACTGCATCCACCACCTGCTCAAGCAGCACCCTGAGGTGCAGGAGAGGGAGATCGAAGAGCATATTGCCACACTCCTGCCTGCCAACGTGCCCGCTGCTACCGTCGCCTCTGGTCGGGCTACTGCAGTGAACCAGATGGCGCTGAACGGGATCAGTCAGCCTCCGATTCAGGCAGTGAAAGTGGAGGAGCTGGCTAACGTGATTTATCCTACAGAACTGGACCAGCCACTTGACTTCTCCGCCAAGGGTCGTGGATCCGGCAGCCAGTCGGGGTCTCCTGGGGTCAAACTGGAGAGCGTCTCCCCCAGCTTCGACTGCTCCGTCCTGGACCAGCCCATCGATCTCTCCATCCCCAGCAAGAGGCAGAAGAGGGAGGCAGCCAGCGCCGGAGAGAAGAGGGAGATCAAGACGGAACAGAGCGGCAGCAGCATCGTCGACCAGCAGCACGCTCTGGCTTTGTCAAAAGAGGAGAAGACGGCGAGCACCCTGCCTCCTCTACACCCTCACCCCCAACTCGGCTGCTACCAGCTACCCCCCGGATCCACCCCGCCCCCCACCTCCCTCCCCAACCTCAGCAACCAACTCAGCACCGAGCCCAGCGCCTCAAAACTGCCCAACCAGCCTCCTCTACCTCCTTCCTCCTCACCCTCCCAATGCCCTCAAGGAGCTCCCTCCTCTGCCTCCATCGCAACAGATTCATCCCACTCTGTCTCTTGGAGCTCCAGACCTGCCGAAGAGAGAAGGCCCCGTCATCACTAGGGAGGTAGCCCAGTCGAGGTGCGTCCTCTCAGGCCAGATGTCTGCTACAGAGGCCCCGGACCCTCCGCTGTTTCCGGACACCGAAGTGAGGACGCGTTCTGAGGGACCCTCCAGGTTGCCGCCTTCTCATACAAAAACAACATTCTGTTCTGTACTTATTCTGTTTTACTTCGCTGGGTTCCTGTGTCTGATTCACAGAAGAGTGAGCGCTTCAAGGAAAGAGTTTGCCTACTTCCTCATTCTCCACTTCCTCTACACGATCATTTTTTCACTGAGGAATATGTTTTTTTTTCTCATTTTTACTATTTTACAACATTTTATGGTAATGGTTTATCATTTAATGAATAAACTAAAAGGAATAATACCATTATCTCGTTTAAATTCCATTAGGACACGTGGAAAAATATACTTAACATGTTTGATTCAATGCAACTTTGCTCTAATTGTATTAATTTAAGTATTCGTAAGTCCCAAAATAGTATACACAACCAGCAGGCTTTGTACATAACAGCCTGTACGGAAGGGGGAAGAATTGGTCACGCTCCTGTCCTGCTTAAACCTTTAGCTCAAGTTTTACCACCAGCAGCTGGCGGCCAAATGCACATTAACCAATACGGGGAGTCATTGTGCTCCTCTTTGTCCCACAGAAAGCGGACCAGGAAGAAGCCTGCTGCCCTGGCAGTGAAGGAGAAGGCCGTAGTAAGCAGTGGCGGCGGAGGTGGCGGCGGCGGCATCGACCTGGAGTCCAGCGGGGAGTTCGCCAGCGTGGAGAAGATGTTGGCCACCACTGACGCCAACAAGTTCAGCACCTACCTGCAGACCGGAGCCGCAGACCTGGGAGGAAAGAGAGGTAGGAGGAGGGACACATGGAAGGCAGTTTGAGTGAGGGAATAGATGATACACTGAGGCTTAACTCAACCCCCCCGCCCTCGCTGTGAACAGATGCTGACAGAGCAGGAGGAGGGGAGGAGAAGGAGGGAGGAATGAAGGAGGAGGTAAAGACAGCAGCGGTGGCGCCGCAGTCCAAAGGAAAGAAGAACGCCTACTCCAACTCTGTCCAGAAGATGACCTGCCCCTTCTGCCCCCGAGTGTTCCCCTGGGCCAGCTCTCTGCAGAGACACATGTTGACACACACCGGTAATACACAGCCACCAATTAGGGCTGCACGATATGGTAAAAACATCATATTGCTGATTATGTGGGAATTTTTGCATCACAAATTTAATTTTCACTAAGTAAATCAATTGAAATCATGATGATTCTTTAATCTGAACAACAAGATGTGTAGACCAGGGCACCTCTGCAGCTCTACGGGACCTCGTTGTGATTTTAGCTGTGCAGCCCTACCACCAATACAACGCAATCACACAGAGGGTTTATTTAAGCTGGTTAAATGAGACAAAGATCACAAGAACTAATAATTATTGTGGGAATTTCTATAAAGTTTGGTTCCATGTATTGTTTTAAATCAAGAAACAATGATTTTTGTTGTATGAAAGTCTTTATTTCCACATCACTATTGGACGAAACCACAGCACAGGGGAGGTGCAGAAGTCTAGTTTTCTCTCAAACCTCTTTTACAGTATACTGAAAGATTATTAAATATACTTTAATTTGACTTTTGTCTGTCCATAGGTTTGTCTTTGTCTCTATTCGCTGCCAGTGGTGGCACATTTAAATTTAAAACTGTTTGAGGCCCAAATTATCCAACATTTCACAAAAAATCCAAAATATGAAAATCAATCTGACCCACTGGAATAAACTCTGTATAAAGTAGTTCAAACCAGCTCCACCTGTAACGTTACAGCATAAATAACATTAATGCATCAGTTTATAACGTCACATAGTCGGATATCAGCAGGAGACCTTTTACTTTGTTCTTCTTTTACTGTCGTTATTTCTGTGTTTGTCCTGTTTCGTTACCTGTTCACACATTCACTCCTTCCGTCTCTTCATGTAAATCTTTTGTCTCTCTTCAGGCCAGAAGCCTTTCCCGTGTCCGAAGTGCGACGCCTTTTTCTCCACCAAATCTAACTGTGAGCGCCACCTGCTGAGGAAACACGGTGTGACCCACCGAACGCTGCGACGCAACGGCGCCCTCGCCAAGAAAGACGGCGACGAAGGTTCGCACGAGAGCGCAGGTCAGAAAAGAACACATCTTAAAGTTAGAGGAAAGTCAGAAATGAGCAGAAAGAGTGGGATTCTGTTTCTACCAACATGATATGGATCTCCTGATATGGATCTCCTGATATGGATCTCCTGATATTGATCTCCTGATATTGATCTGCGGTGGTCACTGTACTGATTGCGTTGTGTTTTGCTGCAGAGAGTCAGTCGGAGACGGAGCAGGTAGCTCCAGAAGCACAAGATCTCAGCGCCTGTGCAGACTCCGGCCCCGCCCCCACAGCAGATAGCCCCACCCCATCAGACCAACAGGAGGCGGAGCCAATGACGCCGAGCCCCACCCACAAGCCAAGCCACGGTCAGTCATTAGCAGCAACTGGTCGATTAATCATCTATCGTCTGGTTGGAGCTCCACTGCTTTAAGTCCTGTTGTGAAATGTATGAACAAAGATGGATGGAGTTAAGAGCTCTCACAATAAGGTTTTTTAATCATAAGTGGAAGTGAGATGTTATATTTGATGTGTTTTAGAGAACCTTAATGTCTTTATTGTGTTTTCACTGTCACACGGAGAGGATGATGGTGTTGACAGATGTTGGTTTGTGCTGCAGGTTGCAGTCCATCTGAAAGCGTTGCAGAGCAGCAGGAGACAGAAACCACAGAGCAGCCGGACCAGCAGAGGGCGCCAGAGAGCAGAGCAGCACAGGGAAAACAGCCTCCACTGAGCAGCAGCAGCAAGGTAAAGCTACCTGAGCTCATAGTTTCTTTATATATTTGTCATGTGCAAGCAAACGGGCTGATTACAGACACCAGGTTGCTCTGTCTGGGTTTTATTCTTCATCAGTAACAGATGGAGTGGAGAACTGTGATTGGACCGATTGATGTAACTAAAGTGTCTGTACGTCCATTCAGCTGATTCCTTTAACTCTCCTCCAGGCGGAGAGCGCTGACGACGACGACTGCCACAGCAACAAAAGTCTGGACCTTAACTTCGGCAAAAAGCTCATCGACTTCAAGCTCTCCACGTCCTCAGGCCCCGCTCAGGAAGAACAACCCTCCTCTTCATCCTCTACCTCTGCTCCCCAAGCAGCAACAGAGAGCCAAGAGAAGGAGAAAGGTGCTACAGCCTCCTCCTCCTCCTCCTCGTCCAGCAGCTCCACGGTGAAGCAGCAGCCGGAGTACAAACACGTATGCCGAGTGTGTAAGAAGAGCTTCCGCTACGCCACCACCCTCGCACGCCACGAGAGGGCGCTCCTCTCCGAGGACACGCCGGCGCCGGTGGAGGAGAACCCGCTGGTGAAAGAGGAGGCGGCGGAGATCAACGCGGCCAAATCAACGGAGGAGGAGAAAGACGAGGAGCTGAAAAAGGAGGCGGAGATCGAGGAGGAGGAAGGAGGGAGGGGAGGCGAGAGCGAGGGAGGAGAGAGCGGGGAGTCGGAGGAGGAGGAGAAGGAGAAGGAGGAGAGGAGTGACGAGGAGGCGTCGGAACCAAAGAGTTTAGAGGGAGGAGAGGCGTCAGGAAGACGAGTGGACAAGAGGAAGAAGATCTGTAACGTCTGCGGCAAAAGATTCTGGTCTCTGCAGGACCTGACCAGACACATGAGGTCACACACAGGTACGACACACACACACACACACACGTCAAACACACACATAAAGTCCCAAAAAACCCCAAATATTCAGTTTACAGTCAAATAAAAGCAGAAGAATCTAACTATAAATGACGTATTTAATTTACATATACAGTGTCTGCGTATAAATGCCTCCCCCTCCTCCCCCTCTGTGCCCCCCCAGGTGAGCGGCCCTACCAGTGTCAGACCTGCGAGAGGACTTTCACCCTGAAGCACAGCCTGGTTCGCCACCAAAGGATCCACCTGAAGCCCCGCGGAGCCGACGGCGGCTCGGCCGGGAACGATGATGCAAGCGAGGACGGAGACTCCTGCACCCCGACCCCGACCTCCACCTGCCCGCCCTCGGAGAACGAGAGCGAGTGTGGTAGCGCCGCGGCCGGGGCCAAGGAGCTGGAGGAGGAGGACGTGAAAGAGGAAGGCGAGGAGGGCGACGGAGCAGAGTCGGCCACGTTGGAGGAAGAAGCGCCGACCGCCGTCGCTTCTGAAGAACCGGCCGCTGAGGAAAAACACGAAGTATCAGCGAACTCTGCTGACGCGACTCCCAGCCGACAAGCTACTGACACAAAGAGCGACGACTCCTCAGCCGACTCCAACGTCTCCAAAGACCCCTCCCCCTCATCCTCCACCTCCCTGCCGGACGAGCCCGCGGCAGCTGCCCCCGCAGAGGGCTTCATCCAGGGGCTGCTGGAGATCCACGCCGAGCCCCCTCTGGAGCACATCCTGCCCAACGGAGAGCCTCCTCTGGTGGGGGTAGACTGAGGGGAATGTCCCCCGGCTGGCTCCACGCTGTCCAAACTAACGTCACCACAGTGCCATACGACGGGAAGACGCTACACCATTGATGATGATGATGATGATGATGATGCAAAAACCAGCCCGGAACACTTTTTTGATCGAAAGAAAGACGAAAACCTCGTTTTCTTGAAGTGCCTTACTACTAGTCCTACTTCTAAGAGATGTTTTTTGCTATATCTTTATCTGCATTATTACGGAGGATGGATCTAATTTTTATAGCTTTTTATGATGACAATGATTTGCATTACTATTTTTTTGTGCGGGGAATCTCTATTTCAGCAATAAAAAGAATAAAGTTTTGATTTATTATTGTTCTAGATTCTGTTTGAGAATTGATGATCAACTTAGGAGACGCAGAGAGACAGACAGAGACTGAGACGGACTGTCGGTATCTGCGTTTATTCTTCTGTATTTAAATCACAGCTGGGCTCCGGACACGCGGCAGAGACTGAAACAGTCCAGTTTTAAGATCTGAACCAGCTTCGGATTTGAGAGCGAACTAGTCGGGGTGTGGAACTCGACTTTGTTTTAATCTGCCAGCCACAGCGGCTTTCTACAACTCACCAGCCACTCGTCCTGCCTGACCAGGCGTTGAGATATTTTTGGATTAAATGCAACCTGGAGGTGATGGCTGGTAGTCGTCTCTCACTGTGTGACAAAGGAAGCTTTTTGTAACTGGAAACCACAGAAAGGCCGGCGCCTCGCTTCCGCACCGATCTCCGTCTCTCAGCCGGCTCGGAAAAACACACAAAAACATTCACGAACTTTGTTAAAAGTCGCGTCGGATTTCTGTGTGGAAAAGAAGTCTTGAAAGGGCGGATATAGTGTTGATCAGTTTGTGTTCTCCATGTTTGTTTGTTTTTTAAAACCCATCACACTATTGATCCCTTTGAAGCCACCCTGTGAGTTGGTTTGTGTGTTTAATAATTTCTCATTCATAATCATTCTCAGTTGATTCCATGTGTGTACAGAGAGTTGAACATGTGGCACGTGTTGCTAGAGTATTTTCTGTTGTTTTTGCGTGTGTGCGATTATCAGTGACATTTAGGTGTAGGGAGGGGAATTCTTGTGTTTTGTGGATTTTTTTTTTTATAACTGAACAAATCAAAACATTTTTTGTCATGTGCGTATGAGTGTTTGCGACTCCCGCCTGTCTCTCTTCATCGCCCTCTAGTGTTCATTTAGGGTTTATTACAGGGCCTCCAGCGTTCAGTTTACCTCAACCTCTGCTTTTTAACTGCAACCATTAAAACAACAGATGAGCAGCTCTGTAGGCAACCTTTTAAATCCTTTGTCTTCCTGAACAAGGCTAGCAGGGTTCAATCTTTGCTAGCCTTGTTTCCACTGTGGGCCAAATCAGAGCGAGCCAGGGCTAACTCGTTAGCGTCGCTTCAGACACAGCTAGCCATGACAAACGTGTTTAAGTTGTTACTGGTTTAGCGTTCACAACGGCCCAACAGAGCTAAGCATGGCTAACAGTATCAGCGACAGGTTGTGGCTAAGTCTGGCAACGAACGAGAAAACGGCACATTAGCTTAGCCTTCCAGTTTAATTAAAGAGCTAACACTAGCTACCTGTAGTTATTAGCCACACAGCAAACACAAGGGCTAACAGATCAGACGAGATAACCAAGCTACCAGTGCCTTCATTTGGTTTACTTCATGTCTCTGGTGTGGTCAGTTAGCTCTAGCTGGCTCTTATCATTACCCATGGATATCAACCGCCTGCTCCAGTTACACGCTAACTAGGGCTAACCGACCAGAGCGGACAAGCTGACAGTGGATTCGCTCAGTAAACTAGTTTGATGTGGTCAGTTAACACATTGCACCACAGTTGGTTAACAGCATTTCTAGCAAGTGGCAGGTCAAGCTAGTGTCCTTCCAGTATTATCTCAGTCGGCTCTGGAGCGCTTTAGTACTGTTTGTCCCTGTTCAGCCTCGTCTTCTCCTGTGTCCATATGAGGACTGTTTCCTGTTCCAGTCGATCCAGAGACAAACAGAAGAGCTAATTAACTTTCACTTTTATGTGACATATACTCCAGCTGTGTTGGTTTATCATCAGTCAGGTTATTAGATACCTGAAGACGCGGCTATGAATTTGGCGTTAGAGACAATCAGTTGAAATTTTCAAATAGAAAACAGATAAAAGAAAACCCACTCAGTTAAATCTCAGCAGGATTTCCAGAAGGAGTTATATGACAGGGTGAAAGGGATGGATGGATGGATGGATGGATGGAAGGACAGACGGATGGATGGGTAGGTTGGGGGGGTGAGTGAACTGTATTACCCTGCTGCACACACAAACAAACACAAGTAAAAGGGCTAATTCTACCCCCTTGCACCAACCGAACCGGACATTTCCACAACCGGAAAAGGATCTCGCGACCAGAGGGGACGGGTAGTGTGTATGTGCGTTTTCTTTTTCGTGTGAAGATGAATATAGCTAATTTTTCTTCTTGTACGTTTTCGTCTTTCTGTTTTTGTTTTGTTTTTTTATAAAGCAACCTCATAATCAAAACGTATCGAACCTCAACGGCTCATAACGGAACTGTAAGGCAACGACGGTCAGTCAGTTTGTCAGTCAAAAAGAGAGGCGAGAAAAATTGAACAACCACAACTGGACTGACTGGACGCTTGCTGTGAACTGGCACTAACAACTCCCAAAACTACTACTACTACTACTTCTACTATTAGTACTACTACAGTGGAATATCGCGACACAATCAAGAGAGAGCGAGAGAGTTTCACTATGTCACGCCCAAACCCTGACACCTCGGTCTGCAGTCCTAATATCAAATCACTGAATGACCTCGATATCTGAGTCTACGGTGTGAATCTCACAGAGGTTCAGGACTCCACAAGTGTCACGTTTTGAGTCGCAGCACTCAGCAAGATCGTGGTTGGAGACTAATCTCCCTCAATTCAGAATAATGTTTCTCCAATATGGAGGGTCTTTACTGGCGATCAACTCCCACGTCATCCGAAGCCTTTGATCCAACGTCAACTAAAGTCTCTCGTATTGTTCGAACACTTCCTGGAACCCAAAAATATATAGATTTCTATATCGTCTATGAAAACGCTTTTCATGGGTCGAAGCAGACTATGTTTTTGAATCACTAATTCCTGACTCACCCTTTCCTAAAAACCCTGTGGCTTTAGCTTCCTCCGGAGGTCAGCTCTGTCAGAACGCTTTACTGCTGGCCCAAATTTCAGCCTCGTAAAAGTCTTGTTGCTCGTCAAACTCCACCAAAGTCGAATCTGACGTGAAAAATGTGTAATGAAATTAGTTTATTTCGCAGTAAAATGTTGCCGTTATGTGACTGCGCCTTTTACGTTGCTGTCCTCTCTTAAATGGCAAAGCTTAATGACGAAACCGCGAAAACAAAACCCGCTCTAACGGCGCCATCTGCTGGTGAAAGCAGACTACTACTGAAGCTAACAACGTACAGTCGTACGAGATTCAGAGTACAAATTATGAATTTACACTATGAGGTATTAATCTGAACGTTTGTGAAGAAACTCTCTCTCTCTCTCAACTGTTTTATGTTTGTTAGCTCTGTCTGTACGTCCCTCTCCCTCGGGATTATGCGTTAATGTACGTCTGACTGTGTGTGCGTGTGTGCGTGGCCATATGAATACTGGACTTCCATTCGAATGCACATGGACTGTTTTTAAATGTATTTATTTGGAGCCCAGTTGTGTGTTTGTGTGCGAGTTAGTTTCTACAATGACTTGAGAAGAAGCCATGTATTAAAAATATCACATTTATGCTGCAGAACTGTTTTGAGGAACCGATGGTTTGTGTTGTGGACTAAACCGGCTCGCCGTAGGGCGCGGCGGGCTGGGGTGCGAATCGGACTAGCAATAAGACTCCCTCTGAATCCAAAAAGCTTTATGTAGATCTCCTGTATATGAGTTGAGAACAGGCTGTCTGGGTCTCTTTGTTCTGTTGTTTTTAGTTTGGCTGAGAAATGATTTTTTTTGTTTGTTTTTCTCTATGACATATAAATGCGTATAAAACTGTGAAAATCCATTGTGTTCAGTTAAAGGGTGAGTTTTAGGTTAGGTTTTTTTGCATGTTAATCTAATTTGTTCAATTATGGATGATTTCTCCTTTCTCCATCTCTTATCGCGCTACACACACACACACACACACACACACACACACACACATATATATAAATATAAAATATATATAATCTCGCTCTCAGGGTCTTTCACAAATCCATTATTCGAAATGCTTCATGTTCTTATTTCCTGAGTTGCAACTTGTTCTTTCCAAGTCCTGATTATTTTGTCCTTTTTTTTTTTTTAATGATTCAGAACTGTCAATCACTACATTTAGCACTTGACTGTGAACTCGTCATCACCTAACAGATAAATATGTGGTTGGATTTTGGTGTTTTAAAGCCAGAATATTGTTGACATTTTTTGCTCCGTTCTCCCCTCTCACCTGGACATTCGGTTCAAACCTTTTCTGTTTTCTGTCTTGGTTTAACCCTCGTGTAACTTTCTGTCCTGGTCAGAGGTCAAAGGGAACGTCAGAGAGGAGATCTAAAA